GGATCAGTACAATTGTAGTGGTAAACGTGAGGTATATTGAGGAAAAATTAGCGACAACCAATACCCTGTACAGTACAATTGTATGTAGAAGCAACCAACCGAATTGCTGATAGTGTTTGGCCAAGGGATCTGGCGATTAGGTTTCCATCTTCTGCAAAAGAAAATGAACATGTCTATAATACCTTTCTTGGCCGCGCAATCGAGTCTATGTCCCCTCATGCTCATACTCATACAATACGACTGAAAACACCGGATAATAACACACATCAGCTGAACGCACAAAATGGCGTACGAAAGCTTGAAAGAGGGAAAACCGTCGCTGGAATAGCTTCAAATCCCACCTGCCGCTCTCAATGGCACCAGATTTTTTTTCGAGGAGCGAAATGGAAACAACCTCAAACGTTTTGCGGCTACCCAAGGGTATGCCATCGTCGCCATCAGATCAAAGAAAACGAAGTGGGGTCTGCAACTGGTCTACTACAAGTGCGATCGTGGCGGGACCTAAAGAGAACAGTCATAACCTCAGCGACGGTGAAAGGAAGCAACAAAACTCTAGCATGTTGATTGTATGCTTCGTGCGCGATTGTTTTCTGCATCTTCTTACCCGAAATGATCTGCCCGAAGTGAGACATTTAACAGTATATACCCGTACGTACCTCGTCACAGACGGTAGAATCAAGTTCCACACATACTGCAAGAGGTATGTCTTTGCCCCTTCATGTCTCGGCAAAAAAACGTCGAAAAAATCGAGTCGTTGACACTGCCGATGGTCAGGTCACTCGGCATCGTACCATCGGATTGATTACCGTGTTCGAGACAGTGAAGATGTCAGCAGCCATGGCTAGATAGATAACCGCTATGGCCACGATGTATTGATAGAATCTCGCGCAAGAGTGGATATGCCGTATCGGGTTGGGAGATAGGGAGAAGTAGTAAGGGACTACGTGTTTTACATGTTATTCTGCATTATAAATTGTGAAGTCCTTTTTATCAGTTTAGGTGGGCAGGTGTGCCCATAGCAAAAGTGGGGTGTGTCCCTAGTCGTAGACTTCATGATTTGATCAACTTATAGACCTCAGTCGGGCATCTCTTTTGTGTCATGCGTTTTATCTCACAACAATTTTTACAATAGTTTCCTCAAGTTTGGTTGCAGTAATCATTCAAATATAGATGATCGTTGACACCTTTATTTTGATGACTCTACTTTAAGGTGTTTATTGATAGCTCAAGGTGACGAAACGCTTATCGTCAATCCAAATTAATAAGTGTATCTATAATTTTCACCACCTTATCACATTCAATTGTGTTATAATGCGTCTTGTCATGTGAGGTGAAAAGAGCATCTCAGTCACTAAATGCACCTTTATTTGTTTTATCTTCATCTTGTGCGTAAACTACATGTTGCAATCACATGGTACGCGATGATACTTGAAGAGGCAACAGACTTATTTTCGATTTACTTGATGGTTCTTTCTGTCAGTTTTCTACATTTTGTGTTGTATCAAACCATGGCAAGACTTGGATCCTTTATCTCTCGTATACAACGAATCCGTATATACCTGACACTTTGTTATAGTGCCCATTCGACTATACTCCCTCCAATTATACTCTCGGTACAGGTAGAGGTCTTAGACGAGCCCGTAACGAGAACCGTTGTTATGATGTGATGATCATCTGATGCAGTATAGATAATACAATACAATCCAGTGGCTGCCCGTGACATGCCTTGTTTACAAACTGATCATCAAGGTCGTGTAATCCGGCGACAATAATCGATGGGACGGTAAGTAGAAGATATTGGGACATGTGTGACAATCGAGAAAGCTGCTGTACAGTTGTGTAAAGGCTTATCGGGGTCGACTGTAGTGCTAAGATCATTAAAAGTATCGAGGCACGACAGTCAAGCCCGATATAAGCAAAATCACTCATTCTTTTTGCCACCATTGGACGATGGATACGTAAATTGCGACTAACCAGGTTACTATTGGTATCGTAAGAGCTGACAATCTACTGTATGAATTATAACAGGTCGACAAAGTACTGATAGAAATCGACGGCATGGGCCAAACCTCAGAGGCATAACTACGAAACGTATTCTTGCACCATTACAATATTAATGCGGTAGTATCGGTCCGGTATCGTGGACGAGTCATGTGAGACCGGTTGTGCGCGACATCTCGATTGGAACGATCTGATATGGCGGATACATCGATAAAATGAGACAGTCATTATCATGCTAATGTGGTTATGACTTGTTTGAATAAGATGTGGATTTATATGGACCACCTGAGGTCGTTGACGTAGACAATTGTACGATTTATACACTCTGTTGGGAGACCGAAGTCAACATTCGACAACTCAATTCTAAAACATTGTAAATTAGGACGTTCAGATTCTCAAGAGCGGCAAGATGGGTACGTGACCAAATCTTCTAACCTACGGCTATATGTTTACTTGCCATATTTATTGTAATTCTTAAGGTACAAATTGCAGTTTCGAAATATGCTCTGAATATGAATAGCAATCAGCGTGTATGCTTTACGATACAAACACGATATAAACGATTGCCAAAGAACAAGAAGGACATCGCCAAAGACTTCGGTAGTTAGTCTGTTTGTTGAGCACTAGCATATGGTCCCATATATAAGTGATGGGCGACCATTTTTACCAGAGCTTAAGTAGCGTCTTGGTCGCCTGACGAAGAACAACGACGTGTTGTAATGCAAATTAGCCGTTTCATTATATGACAGGATCTCGAACCTGACAACTACAATTCGACGTCTCAAGTAATCGCCAACCCATGTTAACACACAGCAAAACGACACGAATACGATCAAGTAGATCTTCGAAATGATACAGTATTATCAAGCTTGCACTTAGTGAGTACAAGACATGAATAAGTATTATAAAGCAATTATAGAGCTATATTAGGATACATAATCTGCTTTTTGGGCATCTATTCATCGGAAATTGATTTCGTTGTAATCTACATATTAGACTCTCACACATCCGGATCGTCGAGCGCTGTTTTTTTTCTCGATAATCTACGACATCAATTCTTACTTTCAAACAAAGGATGAACAGGCCGTCACGAAGAGAGAATCATAATCCTTGCAATCATCGCCAAAGATAATGGCAGGGTTGCATTATCATGATATCGGAATATTCCTTCGCTAACCGACAATCGTCAGCAGTAGTGGGGATAAGCACGAATCGTATCCAGTAAACGCCGATGCGCGGCATCATTATTCATGAAGGGTCCATTCAGGTAGCGTCAGAATAAAGACCTGTTGCGTTTCCGATCCGAATGACCACCCTAACGATATAATCCACTGTATAGAACTACACAGCAGAGACTTATCTCCCGGATGATACGGTCTAGATCCTACTTACGCCTAAAAGTGAGTACGAAGAATAATGTTGAGCACGGTAAGATACTTGGACGGCGCATTCACGCGCAAAAGCAGCTCGACCAGTTTCGATGTCGTACAATGTTGCATATCGACATGCAACATACCCGTGTCCGTTCTCTAAGCAGAATGCCGGCATTTGATACAGCCATCCATTTCTCGCTGCCGCTCTCATCGAACAATGTGGCGCCACAGGTCGCAAAAAATATCCAGTTGTTGAACATCTTTTTTGAGAAGCTCTTTGCACTTACAAAGAGAATTCTGCATACAAGTCTGCATCTGACACTGATGTCGTTGCCGGCACCATCGAATCATACGTTTTCCTAACATACTCCTTCTGACCGTTCTCATTTTTACACGTGATGCGATCGCGCGACACCGTATCTCGACTAGTGTCGCCATTTACCTAACTTGTACAAGATCATGCGTTGGTTAAATTCCCACGGCAGTCACGATGAAGATTTAATCATATCCTTGTTCTCACATAAAAGCGGTCGTACGTACTGAGAAGTGCAACTTTGATATCCGCGCTAAGGGGTTCGGGCTGCAACATCGTCGCGCCAGAGGAAGATGATGGCTTAGCGAGTGTACTTCAAAGAACTCTGTCTCCCCATGCGCGGCACTTGTACATATTATACTGCTCGATCCTTTGCTTGAAAGTGAAATGCCAAAATAGATTTTATCAAGATGTTTGTCATTGCCCTCATCCATAACAACGCAGGAGGTAAGCCTCGCAGCGGTAAAAAAATTGATCGCTGGACACAGTTGCCTCTTCCCCAACCTTGCACTTACAACGGTCAACGATGCTTGAGCTATATCGAACCAGCATGTCCATCGTCGAGGCCTGCTTGGGCAGGTTGCATTTTACGTGAATGGCTTGTGCTTTCGCACTATCGACACAACGCTTTCACCGTCTATTCCTTATCACATGTTACGGTCAGCCATAGTGGGGTTTTCAGACACGTATGGCATTCTCTATGAAAACATGGTTGTCATATGCGTGATCGTCTCACGAGTTTAGCACGGCTTATTTGCCCGCACCTCAGCTGCAATGCACTCACCATCTTACAGCGATCGAGTTTGTAGTAATTTTTCATGCTACTTGCATGTCCCGTGTCTTCTTCAACGAAATGTGGCGTCGGTCGATCGAAGAGCATGAGGAGCACCGGTCGCAGCAGTGATATACCGAACTGACGCCCGCCATTTGGAACAATGGAGAAGCACATTGCGATCTTCCGCTCGGCTTTGCGTAACGAAGCTGACACAACCTGAACAACAACCGACACGCACGCCTCATCCATCAAACTTCCCGAGCTCTTCGCTCCATCGTCTGTTCTAGTTCACGACACTCGAACGTCGCAAACGCGCTCACCTTTTTCCAATTAATCCATCATCCATCCACTCACGACAATCCAAACCCATTGCAGTGCTGCAAACTGCTTTTTGTAAACGGCACTTTCTTGCCAGATCCCCCACTCTCCACCCACTCGGAAAAAACCCATCGCGGCCACCCACCCCATCGCGCGACCTTCCGACCACCTCCGCGCCTGCTGTCACCCACAACGGCCCTCTCACCCACACACGCACTCGATGGCCAAGCGCGGGGAAAAGAGCGCGAGTCGCGCCGACTGGGTCGCCGTCGAGGCGCAGTTCCAGCCCAGCGAGACGGGCGCGCACCAGCTGCCCGCCAAGGCCAAGAGCGCGTACCAGCTGTTCCAGAAGCGCGTGCTCGAGGACGTCAAGCGCGACTTGAGCGGCAACGGACGCGAGAGTGTGGAGCTGGGGCGGCTGTCGAAAGAGGTGAGCGCGCGCTGGGCGCAGCTGTCGGACAGCGACCGCGAGGAGTTTGTGGAGCTGGCGGCGTCGGACAAGAAGCGGTACGACGACGCGTGTCGCGCGCTTGACGAGCAGGTGGAGAAGGAGCGCGCGAGCAAGCGCGAGGACATGTACAGCACGGTCGAGGGCAAGCGCGAGCGCAAAAAGGTGACGAGAGGAGTGCGTGCGTGTACCGGAAATGGTGGGGGTGGCTGATGCTGTGGTGTGCTGTGCTGGATGTGGATTCGTGGGGATGATGGTGATGATGATGGTGCAACCAAACAGACTCTTGTCACGCGGGACGAGACGCGGGCAAAGCGCGAACCGCGTGCGCTGACCGAAAAGCAGATTGAGGCAAAGCGGCTGAGGAAAGAAAGCCGCAAGCAAGAGGGGAACGACCGCGACGAGCTCAAGGCCGAGGAAAAGCGCCAGAAAGAAGCGCTGGCGAACAAGCGATCGGCCATTGCGTCCGCTCGACTCAAGTACTTGCTGTCTCAGAGCGACATTTTTGCCCATTTCAGTGGACGTGTGCAGAAGAAGAACAAACCAGGAGCTGCATTTGATGCTGACGAAGACGGATCTGCTGCGGACACGGACGCGAAGCAGGAAAAGAAGAAGAAGGACAAAGTGAATGATGACATTGACGAGATGGACTCGTCGCGTCACGTGGGCGTGCGTCTCACGCAGCAGCCGTCGGTGATCAAGTTTGGTACGATGCGTGCGTATCAGTTGGAAGGTCTTACGTGGATGGTGAACCTCGCACACCAGGGCATCAATGGTATCCTGGCCGATGAAATGGGTCTGGGCAAAACGCTGCAGACGATATCGGTGCTAGCATACTTCCTCGAGTTCGAGAACATCTCAGGCCCACACATTGTGCTTGTACCGAAGTCTACACTGAGCAACTGGCTCGCAGAATTCGAACGCTGGTGTCCGTCGCTGCGTGCTGTCAAGTTTCACGGCAACAAGGAGGAACGCCTGCGATGTGTGCAAGAGGTGCTGTGCCCCGGTTTGCCGGACAACAAGCGCAAGTTTGATGTGTGCGTGACAACTTTTGAAATGTGCCTGAAGGAGAAGACGGCACTGTGCAAGTTTGCATGGAGATACCTCATCATTGACGAAGCGCACCGCATCAAGAACGAAGGGTCCCAGTTCTCCACTGTCGTTCGTATGCTTGACACCGAGCATCGATTGCTCCTGACAGGCACACCTTTGCAAAACAATTTGCACGAGCTGTGGGCTTTGCTGAACTTCTTGCTGCCGGACGTGTTTGCATCTTCGCAAGAATTCGACGACTGGTTTAACCTGGACGTGGACGACGACGAAGCCAAGAAGCAGATGATTAGCCAGTTGCACAAAATCCTTCGGCCGTTCATGCTGCGGCGCTTGAAGGCGGATGTCGAAAAGAGTCTGCCACCAAAGAAAGAGACGTTGCTCTTCATTGGCATGTCCGAAATGCAGAAGGCGCTGTACAAGTCACTTTTGCTCCGCGATTTGAACACAGTCATGGGTGGTGCGGGTGGTGTCTCGAGAAGCGCGCTGCAGAACATTGTGATGCAATTGCGAAAGTGCTGTGGCCATCCGTACTTGTTTGAAGGGCAGGAGGACCGCACTCTAGACCCGCTTGGAGAGCACGTGGTGCAAAATTGTGGCAAGATGGTGTTGATGGACAAGCTGCTGAAGAAGCTAAAGCAGCGGGGATCCCGCGTACTCATCTTTACCCAAATGACACGCGTGTTGGATATCATGGAGGACTTTTGCCGCATGCGTCAGTACGAATACTGCCGCATCGATGGCCAAACGTCGTACGAGGTTCGCGAGAGCTCCATTGACGAGTTCAACAAACCGGAATCGTCCAAGTTTCTGTTTCTGCTGTCCACTCGTGCAGGCGGTCTTGGTATCAATTTGTACACGGCAGACGTCGTTATCCTGTATGACTCCGACTGGAACCCGCAAGCTGATCTACAGGCTCAGGACCGTGCGCATCGCATCGGTCAAAAGAAGGAAGTGAACGTGTACCGCTTAGTGACTGCCGATTCCGTCGAGGAGAACATCATTGAGCGTGCACAGCAGAAGCTGAAACTGGATGCCATGGTGGTGCAGCAAGGTCGTTTGCAGGAAAAGCAGACCAAACTTACAAAAAATGACATGCTTGAAATGATCCGGTTTGGTGCTGATCAAGTGTTTCGCACTACCGATTCGACAATTACTGACGAAGATATTGACGCCATTTTGGCGAAGGGTGAGCAGCGCACAGAGGAGATGAAGCAGAAGATGCAGGCTCACGATAAGGGTGACATGCTCGATTTCAAGCTGGACGGTGGAGGTTGTCAAAACCATGACGGTATCGATTACTCGAATGAAAAGGAACGTCAAGAGGAGCTTAAGCGTCTCGCGGACGCGGAACTTGCTCGTCAGATGGCCGAAGGCATGGGCAAGCGTGAACGGCGTACTGTCATTCGTCACAGCCTCGTCTCTTCCGAGGGTAAACACAGGACAAAGCAAAAGCAGTTGCCCAAGGCCTTGCGCTTACCACGTCTAGAAGAATGGCAGTTTTACAACCGAAGGCGGCTTATTGAGCTTCATGAGATCGAGTGTTCAAACTATGAGCAAGTCAAAGCTGAGACGGAAAAGCCGCCGCTCCCGCCACACGCACAATATCTCACCAAGGAAGAGCTTGAGGAAAAGGAGCGGCTTTTGAGGGAGGGTTTTAGTGATTGGAACAAGCCTCAATTCTTTCTCTTCATCAAGTTGCTTGCACGTTACGGCCGTGGCAACATCGAAGCGGTGGCGGTTGAAATGATGAAACCTCTGGAAGAGATCGAAAAGTACTGGAAGGTTTTCCTCGCGCGTGGTCAAGAGGAGTTGAGTGATTGGCATAAGATCATGAAGTCTATCGAAAAAGGCGAGTCGAAGCTGCTTGAAATCGAGCGCTTGACTGAGGAAACTAGGCGGAAGGTGAAGCGTTACACGAACCCGTGGGAAGACATGCCAATCAATTATCAAGGCAAGGGCGGCAAGGTCTTTACTGAAGAGGAGGATCGTGTGCTGTTGTGCCTGGTAAACCAGTTCGGGTACGGAGCGTGGGATCGCATCAAGCAGGAAATCTGTGGCATGGAGATGTTCGCGTTCGACTATTATCTGCGCTCGCGCACCGCAGCTGAAATCGGACGTCGCTGCGACTCGCTCATGCGCATTTGCGAAAAAGACAATGCGGACCTGGAAACTCGCGAAAAGAAGGAGCAAGACGTGCGACATGTGTTGCAAGAGCAGCGAGCAAAGCTAGACGAGCAACTGTCTGCAGCTCGCGCCGATGTGAAGCAACACCAGGCCCGTGTTGATGAGCTGATCATGAAAGAAGCGAAGCGCATGCAAAAGCAGCGTGAAAGTAAGCGGGCGAAGAAGCGAAAGGAGCGCGATCAGAACGAGGATATGGTCGATCAGTACACAGAAGCCTTGGTGTCGTTTTTGGTCCAAGCGACGAATATGGATGCAGCTAAAGTTGCATTGGACTTTTGCGCGAAGATCCGGCAGGAGAAGAACGAGGAGTTGCAACCGTCGTACGTGCTCAAAAAGATACGCCAGGTAGCTGAGTCTGACAAAGGTGCCGCGAAGGGCGCCTTGGCGTGGACGATCAAGGCAGATTTTGCGGATGTGAAAAAGCCTTGTCTGAAGAAAGAGAAGAAGGTACTCAAGCAGGCGCATATGGCTGACGTTAGCGGTGCGTCAGTTGTGAAGTCCGAGCCTGAGGAGAAAGGCCGCTTGCCGAGGTCCCCATGGTCTCCGACAGCAATGAAGCAAAAGGCCAAGAAGGAAAAAAAGGTCAAGAGGGAGGGCTCAGCACTGAGTAGTGTGCGGAAACCCCGTAGCGCCTATGTGCTGTTCAGCGTCGCCAATCGATTGGAGGTGAAGCAGTCGCTAGGCAGTAACGCTAGTCTGGTGGACGCTATGCGCAAAATCTCGCAGACGTGGAAGGACATGAGCCCCGAGCAGAAAGCACCGTGGATCGAGGCAGCCAAGCATGACGAACTGCGCTATGAGAACGAGATGAACGAAACGACAGCGTAAGTTTACATGACAAGAGTACGTTCACATGCTACGATCGCGAATGTACGTTTGGTTTATGTACATGCATTGTTAGCACTGATGTTCGGGGATCAATTGACAAACGATGGGAGACACTTTCGTTCTTCACTTACGCGACGTTGCCAAAGCGCATCCTGAAGCAGCGCGCTCAGTTCGATGTAAGCAGCATGTCTGCTCCAGAACGGCTTTTCTTCACGCTTCCATTGCACAAGGCGTCGCAAAGACAGCTTGTTGCAAGTCGTGGTACAAAGGCGCTAACAATAGCATATGTATGTTGGAATACAGCAAGGTAAACCACATAGCAGTAGCAGTTGTTACTAGTGAAGAGAAAAAAACATGACTCCATTCATTCGGCAGCACGTACTCGAGGATAAACGTCCCTCCCGTTTCGCTGTGAAAGCAGAAGATAGACGTTTGTATGAGGCGAAGAAATGGACCACGCGGTAGCGGCAGTCTGCTGTTCAAAAAACTGGAAGATGGTATGTATCGGCTCTTAGTGTGGCAGCGTGAAAAGAGGTTGCAAGTAGTGAGGTTTGGCACCTTACTGAAACAGAAACGACGACATAGGTGATAGACGTGTGACGATTGGAGATACAGGGCACAGGAGTGATGTTTGCATCAGCAAGTCAAGTCTTCGAAGAATCAGCACGCTCCAGCTTTGTCGTCCGTGGCGCGATGTTTGTGTAACCCACTTCGTCGACAAGAGCCCCAGCAAACCTGATCCGACAGCAAGCCAAGACGAATGCGTTCCTAGATGTAACAACGCATCGTAGTAAAGGCACGTTGACTACCAACCAATATTCCTACGATCCGACAACGATTGTCTCTTGATTCGTCGACTGTTTGCCTAGCAACTTCTCATTGAAGGCCAGTTGACAGGCTCCAGTCGACGAAAGAAACGCTTTATCTCATCATGCCATCTAATAAATGACCTGACGCAGATCTGCAGGGTCAAAAGAATCATGTTGCCGATGCAATGTGCGCCTTGTGACGCGAAGAACAGGCCACGATAAACCTTAGCTTGCTATTTTTGGCCTACGTCGGAGTCTACCATAGTAACAGCATCTGCTAAGTTCCTAGTAACCCACATCACAACATATTGCGGCTATGATCCAAATGATCAGCTATACCTCAGCAGTTGCTATATCGTGGACTTGTGGCCTCACGCTAGTGTCAAACGAGCAGCTTTCACAACCCTTCCTTGTACATCGCGCATTTGGATCGCCTAGTTGGCATAGCGTACTTTCAGTAAATGTTGCAAGTCCGTCCAGTACTTCAACCCATTCGATGTCTGAAGCACCGAACATCACTTCTTCTAACGAAGGATTTTATTCACGTTGCACGACGCAGTTATACCTCCATTCTTGATTCTTGGTTCGGATCCACCTATCGTCAGCAACTTCAGAGTATTCGCAGCCAGTCGCTTCTGATGTTCTCGAGAAGTGTGGCGGAACGTAGGACTACGCTTGCAGAAAAGCTTTGAAGGCTGCCGTTTCTGTCGGATTTTTGACCTCTGAAATCCGACTGTATTTGCAATTCTGGCGTTGTCGGTGCTCTTCGCAACAGACTCGAGCAGCCTGACTCGTCTCTTACAGTTCCAGTATCTCCGGCGTCGCACAAGATCACACATAGCATTCGCGCGATGCTCGGACCGCGATGTGAATCGCAGCGTTGAAGCTGGTTCGTCCATAACTTGTGTGCACTTAAACAAGATCACTCATGCTTTGTTTTGATGCTGCCACGATATAGCTGAGCTTGTATCATGCGCTTGCAATGATTTGTGCATCCTAGCACTCATATACAACCCTCTTCGATGCTGCATGATTTCCAATCGTATCTCCAACAAACACAGTCTCAGTATGATGAAGACTTGGTGTGGGCTGTACCTGCACCAGTGTGGATCGACATCATTGGTCGACCAAAAACTAGCAAAGTGACGCAGATCTTGGACATGAAGAGAGCGAACTGCAAATTGCATTACAAGTTGACTCACAGGCAAAGACTAATCAGTCGCACTTAGCTGCTTGGTCACAGTCAATCGTGGATTGTACTGGCAACTTGTACTTGTCGATAAACAGATTCATGACGCCGCGTGATGGCCTCCAACCAGCACAAATCACTACAGCTGATACACAAGAATGCTACAACTTGATACATGCGTCACTAGGGAAGGCTGACGAAAAGGCATGAACCGATTTGCCGCAATACTGTATTCTTCTTATTTCCTCCAGTTTTGTGCGTCTGGCCACCATTAGTCTACTTTTTCAGGATGGGCGGCGATCGACTGCTGTCATTTTTTCACGATAAAGATCTGGTAAACTGCAATGGTGGTGCACGGATGCAATTACATTGATCACAAGTACGAACGTGATGTAAGCTACTTGTTCACAACTCGTTTTAGCGCATATGGCAATATTTGCGATGGTGTGTTGGCGTATTCGTGGCCCGTATCATTCGATGAGCAGTGTGTCGTCAACAGTTGCTTATAGCACTCATACAAGTGATGTTTTAGAGATTCGATCTCAAGTCGTGTCCACTGGTTACCATACGTGGCAATGATATACAATATGGCGTGTACTGTCATGTCTGTGTCGTGCAGTGTGTAAATTTGTTACCGCATATAATGCCTTGTGCAAGCTTTACGGGAGAATCACAGATTACCTTCAGTATGAGCGCAAGCCCTGTAAAATCATTGCGTCTTCGATGCAGCTCTCTCTAGGCGCCATACCAAGCAGCTAAACAGATCAGGCGAAAGAGACCTGTAACATGCAGTACCTGCGATACGGGCCATGCAGCACAACACGAAGATGCCGAGCTGAACAAGTCAACAATAGAGAGCTGTCAGAAATCGTGCACTCACTCGAGCTCTATATCACTAGCACGTAAACGTTGACCGATCTTGTATCCCACATAGATCGGATCGCCTCGTTCTTCAGTGACTCTGGCCACATCCGATACGTTGGAACTGCAGCTGTAACTAGCATGACCGCCGTCTCGCAACGGCGCTCGTCAAGTTCGTGAGCAGAGATCCGCTGTAACAACCTTCGATCAACCGTCACGTCCCTCGAGTGTGCCGGCCATAAAACAAGCGTACAGTACCTACAAAACGGCTGTGCTTGCCCGGCACATCCGTCCGGGCGAGGCCGCTCTCCCGAATCGCTTTCAACAGGGCCGACCTCCACGTTGAAGAAGTGAGTGCGACTGCGAACTAACCCGACCCGAACCAGCACTCTCACCGTCGCTTCCGAAGAGCTGCGAGACCTGCGCCCATGGAGAGCTCCGACGCCTCTCTGCAGCTCTATCGCGTCAACACGCAGCCGACGGGCGACGCTGCTGCTGTCGCCCATTCGGTCCAATGGGACCCCTGCGCCTCGCACACCGACTGCGACTCGTGTCTGAACGCGAGCCTCACGTGCCACTTTTGCCAGAGCGACTTCCAGTGCCACACCATTGGCTCTCCCTTTGGATGCCCCGTAGGCGTCTCGGTCTGTCACCGTCTCGAAGGTAAGAAGACACTCGTCGACTGGACCATTTGTTGCTGTCCCGGAGATGTTTTGTGTGGCTGAGGGCTGAGAGACGCGTGTGTGTGTATGTGTGTGTGTGCATGTGGGGGTCGACCTGCTCGTGTGCGCGCAGACTGCCAGCGACCCGAGCCGCAGTACGTGGGCTACGGGCCGCCGCCTTCAGTGGTGATTGCCGTGCTCTGCCTTATGGTGACGCTGACGTGCTGTTGCTGCGGCATTTCGGCCATTTGCTCGGCGTTTTGCCGACCCAAGAAGGCGCCGACACGACGTGCCATGCTTGCGGCTGCCCTCAAGGAGAACATGCAGAAGAAGGATACGAAGCGGGAACTCGTGTGCGTTGCATTGTGCTGGAGGATGTATTGCGTTGAGTGCAGGTGGATTGTAGCTGGCTACTGACTTGACCGTCATTGTCGTGTTGTTGCTGCTGCTGCTGTTGCTGCTGCTGCTGTCGTTGCTCTATGCATGATTGCAGGGACGAAGAAGAAGAATGTGCACAAGCTCAGAGACAGCCTCTGCTTCTCGGGGAGATTCGGGAGGGAGAAGTCCGGTTGTTTGAGAACGAGGTGGACCAGGAGTCACTCGAGCGGCTACACACGCGCTACGAAGCAGATGAGCGGCGGGTCAACTGGCACGCAGTAGCTACGCGCGTCACATGGCTTACACTGCTTATTACGACAACTGTGTTGGCCCTCATGTTCTACCCGCGAGTGCCCGACTACAACGTGTGCAATCGCGAGTTTGAGTGGGAATCCATTTTGCACAGCATCATGGGCCTCGAGCCAAAGGTGGAGTACCAGGTGCTTGTGAGCGTGATAAACGAGAACCGCTTTGGCTTTGTGCTCGAATCGGGACGCGCTGATATTTATCACAACTCCACCTTAGTGGGCACGTGGGAGCTCGACAAGCCGTGGAAAGCCAAAGCCGGCTCTATCAGCGATAAGATCGCGGGAATCAACATCAAGCCTGGATACGCTGAAGGCATTGCGTTGTGGAAAGATTTTAGCAAGAACGAGCTCGTTTTTCGCATTAATGCTACGATCACGGGGTCCATCACGTGGGGTCGCTACAAGGTATGACATTGCAGGTTGAGCATGTGCCAAACAAGCTGTACGTCATTGATTCTCGTTTGTTGATGCAACAGATCTATCGCATTTCATCCTCCACGCCGGACGTTGAGTTCCTTGTTGGAGCAGAGTACGATCGAGGTCTTTGCAAGTGCACCGAGTATCTGACACCAACGTAAGCGGATGTCTCGTTCGGCTGCCTCTTGTGTTTTGCAAGCGACGCGGATGGTAAAGACCAGCAGAACATGACGTCTTCGAAAGAAGACGAGCGACAAGGACTGATACGCATTGTGCAGCGCAGCTAGGTGTCGTATTGACATACCTTGTGGTACACAATCACTCAAACATGCCGCCTTTTCCTTCCCATCAGACACTCCCACTAGGTTGGTAAGCAATCATATCACCTCCTCGTGCCGTGAAAACTTTCTGCAGCATCTCGTCTACGCATGCCATGCGAGCTCGTTCGGGTGTCACAGGGCTGTGCAGCTCAAAGTACCCGTGATGACCAGCGTCTGCTCTGGCCGCGTAAATTGCCTCTTTCACGGCAAAAAAAGCGCTGGACCCCAAGGAAAGCGGGGGCTCTCCAACTGCCTTGCTTGAATGCACCGCAAACTTATTCTTCCGGTTCGACTCGAGCCAAACATGGAACTCAAGTGGCACGTCGTTGGCACTTGGGATCTTATACGCGCCGGGACCTCGCGTGAACAGGTTGCCTCGTTTCACCCACGGATGTGCATCATCGCCCCACACCAGCTCCTCCAGCGCAAACAGACCGAACCCCTGCATGAACGCGCCTTCGATTTGACCAATGTCAATGGCGGGATTGATGCTGGCACCGAGGTCCATCAAGATGTCGACGCTCAGCATGTGGAAGTCTCCGGTGAGTACATCTAGCTCCACCACGGTGCAGGCTACGCCCGTTGTGAAGTAGTTGAATGGCGTACTGATCGCGCTGTTTTCAGCCACCGACTTTGTGAAGTCGTATTCACAACGCTCATTTGCAACGATATAGAATCCTTGGGCCGACATGTTAACGCGTGCCATGTAGGCGGCATGTGTGACATCAGAAAATGACGCGTCCGGGCCTAGGCGCTCGCGTATGGGTGCGAGGCGTGCAAGTATCTGCTCACATGCGTCTAGCGTCGCCATTCCATATAAATCGGTGCTCATGGAAGCCGCGGTCGATTGTGTGTTCGGAACCTTATCTGTCGACGTGTCTTCAATGTGTATCTGCTCGTGTGGAATGCCAAAGGCTAATGCTGCGACCTGGATTATTTTCGTGTGAAGACCCTGGCCCATTTCGACACCACCATGAGATACCAGCACACTACCATCTGCATACACATGTACCAAAGAGCCGCCTTGGTTCATAAATTGGACAGTAAAAGCGATACCGAACTTCGACGGCATGAGCGACACGCCGCGCTTTTTCCAACGATTGTTCTTGTTGAATGCCTCAACCTCCGCTTTCTTCGATTCAAAGTTACTGCGATCAATCAGGTGATGACATAGCGTCCGCAGATTAAAATCCTCAAGCGCCTGACCGAAGTGCGTTCTTTGGCCCTCACGATACATATTGCGGAACTGGACCTCTTCGGAAGGGATCTTCAAAGTACGTGCTATGTGGTCAATGTACGTTTCCGCGACAAACATACCTTGTGGCCCGCCAAAACCACGGAAAGCGGTATTTGTGGGTAGGTTGGTCCGGCAGACGGTGCCACTACAGCGGAAGTTTGGAATGCTGTACACGTTATCGCAATGGAAAAGCGCACGATCCATCACTGCCAGTGAAAGATCCATGGAGTAGCCCGCGTTGCTGCATAAATCCGCGTTCAGCGCCAAGATGGTTCCGTCACGCTTGATACCAACCTTGTATCTCGTGAAAAACGGGTGACGACCCCCTGTAGTGAGCATGTCTACGTGGCGTTCCAGCATGCACTTTACCGGACGCTTCATCACATAGGCAGCAATAGCAGCGGCACATGTAACGAATGATGATCGAGTCTCTTTGCCTCCAAACCCCCCACCGAGACGCTTGGTCGTGCTCGTAATGCGATTCGAGTTGATACCCAGCACACTCGCTGCTATCTCTTGCACGTGTGATGCGGCTTGTGTCGAGGACACAATCTCCATCCCACCCTCTTTGGGAGTGCAGACCGAAACGTTGGTCTCGAAGTAAAACTGCTCTTGGCCCCCCATGTGCACCTCGCCTTCAAGCACAATGTCGGATTCCGCCAGTCCTTTCTCCACGTTCCCGCTGTCAATAGTATGCACTGGAAGAATGAACGACTTCTCGCGGATGGCGTCTTGTATCGTCATGATGGAAGGCAAGACTTCGTAGACAACTTTCACTCTGTCGACAGCTTTCATTGCAAGCGCGTGCGAGTCTGCGATGATGATGCCGACGGGTTGGCCCGTACAGACTACTTCTTTTGACGCAAAACATTCCTCATCTTTTACGACAGGACCGATTTTGTTTAAACCAAGCTTCTCGGTCTCGAAAATTGATGCATCGAAGAAACGATGCACACCATCCATGGCAAGCGCCTCACTTGCATCGATGCTTTTAATTAGACCGTGAGCGCACGTAGACAAAACCAAAGCACCATGAAGCGTTCCTGGCGTGCTTGGAATATCGTCTGTATACAGCGCTTCACCGCTCACTTGTAAATACGCCGACTTGTGCATGAGTGGATCCCCGACTGGCCCACGCTTTGTCGTTTCATCACCTACTGGTTGGTGCTTTGAGTCCTGAAGCCCACCGATTTCTGCCCCAAAGCTTTGAGATCCATGAGAAATCGGGCGAGCTTGATGCAGAAATGATACGCCTGCAGACTGCAAGTTTCCGTCGATAACAGGCGCTCCAGCGCGCACTAGATCAGTATCCATTGATGTCTGTAAATCGAGCTGAAGACGCTGCGACGACGCTAGGAAGAACTTGTACAAGAATGATGAGCACAAACTCTCCCTATACTTCGCCATTCCGCCCGGTACACCGTCAGGCAGCTCAAAATCACTCCGAAGTAATGCGTCGCACGCCTCATCGAATGTGGACGCATCAAACGGCTTGCCGACGAGAAACCTTTCCGCTTCAGCTGCTGCCTTTGTGATCGGTGCCATACCGCCGTACACGGCCGAAGCCTCTTGGATGATCCATCCTCCACTCTGTTGTGAACACTCTAGTCTCACACGAATCCCCGCGGTCACAATGCTGATGTCATCCTCGCGACGACGAGCCTGCTTGAACGGAAGCACATACTCCCACTTCTTCGTGAAAGGCACGTATACGCTCGTGATCACCTCGTCCGGGTCCATTCCAACCTTGCGGTACGATAGAAAAAAATCGCGCACTCGGGCAAATCTTGCTCCTCTCGTTGACTGTAGTTCAATGTAAGCGTTCATTGCTGCAAGCAAAGGGTTCATGTCTGAGATTGGACTAGCTGTGACGAGGTTTCCCGCCATACACGCCACATTTCGGATGTGTGTGCTCGCAAACCACTCGAGCATCTGTACGATCGCCTCAAACGCTCGCGTTTGATACGGTGGCAAGACCTTGATCAGTTTTGACAACTGTTGTTTCACGTCTGTCAGAGTCACAGCTGCGCCAAACTTGACGCCCTCAAATGGTTCAGTGTCAGCGAAAACTGTCTGGTTGATATGATCGGTCGACGTCACGGTCTCCGTGGCTTCAAATTCCGGGATGCGACTAACATTGATCAAGTGCTTATACACACAGCCTTTAAACTTCGTTTCGATCCCCATTTCAGTGTTGCCAACTGAAACCTTTGCATCCGGATGCTGACTCTTGATTTCCAGCAAGTGGGCCAGCGTCACGGGTGCAAACCACTTGATCTGGCCGCCGTCAATTTGCAACACCTGCGGCGTTCTCGCCTTCTCAACCAATTCAGTCGGAAACATCGACCCCGTCTGCGCTTTCTGCTCGTTCTTCGCATCATCCGCTTCGCTCTCGCCTTGTTCGCGCTGCCGACGAAGCTCTTGAATCTTGCGAGACGAGCAGCTCGTCACCTCCTGCGGCAACGTGCCACAGAGATCTTCCATCTCGACTTCTCCCTTGCCGCGCCCCGCAGCGTTCGGGCAACCAGGACACGTGCCTTTGCACGGGTCTGCCCGTGCATCGTCGCCAAAGCTCTTGGCCGCATCAAGAATCGGTCGATAGCCAGTACAGCGACACAAATTGCCGTCCAAGTCGTGCTCAATGTCGGCCATCGTGAGCTCGTCCCCCGTCTCTCGCTGCTTGACCATAGTGTAGAGCGCCATGACAAAGCCAGGCGTGCAGTAGCCACACTGCGAGGCGTGCGACTGGGCCAGCGCCTTCTGCACGGGGTGCAGCCCCGTCGCGTCGTGCCCCATGCCGGTGGTCGCGCCCACGCCCTCTACAGTCGTGACGGCGCACAAGTCCATCGCGCACAGGGGCGTCAAACATGCGTTCACCGACACGTGCCGCACGCGTCCAGACGGGACGTGGAACTTGGAGACCATGACCGTACACGCCCCGCAGCCGCCTTCGCCACAGCCGAGTTTCGTCCCAGTGAGCTGCAGGTCCTGACGCAGGAACTGGAGCAGCGTCTGCTCGGGCCGCACGGCCGTCGCGGCAAGTTGGAGGCGCTGGTCGTTGACGTACAGGAGCAAGTCGCGGCGCACGGCGGGGGGCGCGGCCGACGACATGGCGCGTGGGCAAAGAGAGGGCTTCGAAGGGGCGGGCTGCAACTTGAAGACTGAGCGGCAGCGGACGCGCGCAGAGTGAATGTCGGGCACCTGCTACGAGACTGACATTCACTCTGCTGCTTCGTTGATGTTCTTCAAGCGGGGGATGGGGCTGCGGTTGGGGCTGTGGTTGGGTAAACAATTTTTTAGTGACGCGGCCGAAGACGTGTCGTGGCGATGTGCGGTTAAAAAGACCGTGCTTGGTTTGTATCGGTCCTGCGGTATGAGGAGGAGCAGGACGACATTGCGGGGGGTGCAGGATATGCCATAAACCGGTGCGGTAAGTACGATAAGCTGGTGAATGCGGCGAGTTCTTCCATCCGTTGTGCAATGTCCGCTGTACTGCAACTAGAAGCTGTCTTGATGCAAGGACATCCGCTACTGCTACGGTCGTACGTCTTTATCAAATGATGGGCTGGGCTGAAGAGCTTCACCACACTTACGACGACATTACACATGACAAGGTAATGGTAGTTGATCGTATTGGATGTCACATCTCGGCACGTCTGCCTTGCCGGAACACCATCCAAGCCTCGATCGGGTCACCTCGTTGCGCACGAGCTTGATCATCAGTTTTGTAGCTTCGTGTTGCAATTTGTTGATTGCAGTACAAGGTTTGCGCTATGATGTATGATTTATGACCACTCCGCACGAATTTCCACCTCCAGCTTTCCGAAATGCGTCGCAATCTGTGGCAAGAACATGTCGCAGTATCAATATCTACTGATTGTAATTGTTAGTATGCCAAATGATTAGTGATACGTGAGTACTGGTAGCACGACCAAGTGTCCAGACCGACACTGCGCCAGCTGGCTGTCAAACGCGATTCCAGGACATCTTTACGTACTTTGTACTCAGTAAGATTATGAGCGATGCCGTAACGGGCTCACCTGTTTGCATGACTTCGACATATTTTTGTAGTTTTAAAAAATCGTGATCGAGATTGTAGTAATCTCAATACCCCATCATCGGGTAAATATCTAGTCTATTGATACAATAGTAAAACAACTGTGGGGAGCTGCTGTTCACCACGCACTTCTCGCTAACTACCACTCACCCCTAATTTTCGAAAACCCTGCATCCTTCTCTCGCGCTCGAATCGGCGACATGTAAATTGATGAAAACAATAGTAAAGAAACGCAATTCCACGCAAAATCGTAAAATCGTTGAAAAGTAGACCTGTTTACAAACGCAGATAGATTTTGCACAAACGCAGACAGTTTTCACAAAAAGAAATTAAATAGTACATGGACATGGCAGCGCTTGTTCTTACCGCAAGCGCTGTCGTGTCCAGGTACTGATTATTTCATTCTGATGGGTATCAAAGTGCATCCATTCGTCCTCAGCACCAAGAGCACTAAAAGCTACCAACGTAATCACTGCGGGAGTTGGAAGAGGTTGTCGACATCTTATTCTGTTGTTTCCTGCTTGTTCGCAGCTACCGCATCGACGTGCAAGCCGCAAGGCATTCGTCACAACTCAAACTGAGATAGATTTATCTGATTAGGAATCTGCTCTTAGTGCTAGTCTCTAGTCTGCTTGTCTTAGCGGTTGATGTCCAATAGCATCAACAGGACTCCCGCGGTCATGCTGGATAAATGGATTGGGGACCTCCGCTGCCGATAACACATCTAGATGGTCAAGGATAACTAGCTGCTCTTACGAGGCTCCATTTTCATTTTTTCTTGGATGCGCTATATTTTCTCAGATGGTGTGGGTGCTGCATATAGTCCTTCTTGTCGAGGTCGCTGCACCAACTGTCAGTGTGGAGCGAACGATCCATGCTGACGCAAGTAAGGTTCTAGATGTCGAAGTCTGTGTAATAAAGAGTATTCGTTTCAACGCGAGCGAGATCAGCATTGATGTGTTCATTAATAATCATTCACTGAATGCATGTTTACTATATGTTTAAAGGGAGGGTGAGTGGTGGCTAGCGAAATGTGAGTGGTGAATAGCGGCTCCCATATTCTGCTGATAGTAATGTTTAGTAGCAGCTGCTAACAATTTTCACTTCGGCTGTAATCGGCGGCCATTGCATCAGGATCAACGGGGCAACAAAGTTATATGCTTAATTCAAAGTGACATTTGTGCGAGTTGTCAAATTAAACTTTGCCTGTAAGAATAATGAATCGGGGTACAACCAGCATTGATTATAGGTACTTAAACGACATTTAGTGGTAATGTTATTCGTAGTTGGCGACATTGAGAGGCAATTGTTAAAACGAGGTGTTACAGTTGCACTTGTGCATAGGTAGTGGAAAGTAAAAGGAAAATTTATTCGGTGTCAAGTGCTTCTTTTGTCAGCAGTACGGTATACATGAACCAAAACGGAACTGCAACTTGACAATGTCAAATTGTACATGGTGTCCGTCTCTCCCTATCCCATGTGACATCCTGTCACATGATATCTGTCTCTCCTCTTCACATGTGTCAACCTGTCACATGATTAGCCACTCAGGTGAGATCGGACTTACCCGTAACAGGTGTTGCACTCGAGCTGCAGAACCTTCTTGGCCTGTCAGAAAGAGTATATTCTGACATCTACCGCCAAGATTACGGTCTAGGAGTGATTAGCGATACCGCAAGGGCTTAATATTACCCCAGACACATTCACCAGCTATGCATAACATGACTCGGATCGTCGCGAGTTTGTAGGTATTTGCTTCGACTACGTCTTCGTCCATAGCCGAGAAATGGACGAAAACAGACGTGAAAGTATACAGAATGCACCTTTGGAAATCACGTCAATGTAAGCATAAGCTGTACGCTATCCTACAAATTCTTGGATGCATCGAAAAATGTCATGATGTACGCTGCGGACCAGAAAATATTAAGGCTATATCCATCTGGCTTGTACCGGTAGATGCCAACGGGCGCAGAAATTCTTCCGGGCTTGCTGCGTACTAACACAAGGTGTAACGGGGTTACACGTCGACTGGTAGTCGACAATAGGTGTGGTTCACACAAGGGATGGGATCCCCTTTAAAGCGATATTAGAACACAGTATCAATTGTTGAAGATTGATGTCTGTCAACAATTGATTACGAGATCTTTGAGATGTTTATATAGGACATTAGCGAGTAGGTTGATTACGTTGTTCTAAGGTGTTCTTTTAGGTTAAAAGAAGAAATAAAATTCAGCTCCCATTATGATCCGATAGGCACGTGCCTCTTTGAGTCGTCTTGTGATCTTTTGAGGAGGTAGCAACGCCTTGTTAAGGCAGCTACTCCTTGTGCACTCTGTGCGTCGATTCTCTGAGTCGTTTGGTCCCCCTGGAACAGGACCGTAAGCTCTCTGAGCTGTTGACTCTTTGAGTCGGGTTTTTTGACCAAACCTTAGCTCTCTGAGCTGTTGACTCTTTGAGTCGGGTTCTCTGAACTAAAGTTGCTCGTTGAGCGTTGAGTCTTCCTCTGACGTAAGGAGCTGTGTAGATCCGCTACACAAGGACTCGCGCAACAACGCCGAGTTGACTGTTCATCTTTCTTGTTTCCTCGATCGAAATGATAAATCTTTCTGGTTGTCCTGATCGCCAACGATCCTCTCGGGGCATGTAACAAAGGTGAAAACGACCGCTAGTACTGCCGATTCCAGACCAGGGTAGACCACTTCACGTAGTACGTGATGTCAGTCAGTTTTGGATGGTTGCGCGCTGAAGCTTTCGACGCGTTATCGAACGCACCAGCTGCAGACAGCTGACCGGATTGATGTAGTGTATGGCAAGGAGCTACTTGCCATAACTATGCATTGGCGAAGATCAGTGTCTATCTATCGTAGGAAATGTCCTTCACCTTCCATACGGGCCATGCGTTTTCACCACGGTCGTCAAAAGCCCCGAGAATGAAGGGGTGCTATCGTTCTTCGCGGAGTAGAACTTCCCCGTGGAAGATACAGCAAAACCAATTTCGGTTGTCGATGAGTGCCTTCGAGCTGACTGCACAACAAAACGGTGGGAGCACATACTGCATAAACACATCGCTTTCTTCCATAAAAAGTGCCGGTATATCTCCTGAACTGAGGAATGTGCCCCTTCGACCACATGACGTGCTTCCAATCTAAAAGACACACGGATCAAACGAGTTTGTACCCACATCGTCGAGCGACATGGAAGACCACTGGAGCGACGAGACGCAGCCCCGCGACGGGTTCTTGCTCGAAGAGGTACGTCGTCGTCATGTCGCATCGAGTGAACGCACGTGTGCATTCGTTGACGTGCGGCTGAGCCCTTCTTTCTGATTCCACGAGCTAGAAACATTGCGACGGCATACTAACCTTCTGTGAATATGGCTCTGAATATTTACCTGAGAATCTCAAGATTCCGGGCGAGCTGGAAACACCCGATCGAGAATGTGTCATTTACCGCCGCGTCAATGTAGAGACTGCGTTCGTGACGTCGCGCTTTGACTCTCACGTACAGGACGTGTCCATTTCGTCGACAAATGAATCAGTTTACTGACCGCTAACGGGTCCGTTTGACTCATTGTGACTACAGACGGATGAGGCCGCTGCGCTGCTGCCGTCAAGTAAAGTGGTCTTCAGTACCAGTCCAGCCACACTGCAGGACCTGGATGATGGCTCTTCGACTGTGCTGGGTCTTGGCTCGATGCAAAACGAGCCGATGGATTGCAGTCTAAATGTTAACAATCGAGATGACACTGAGATGCAAGACTTGACCAAGTCGCGGGTATTCGTGCCGTTGGGAGAAGTGCCGGACGCTGAGGAGGTTGGCTATCACCGAGTGAATCCCATGTTTGAGTCATGCGAGCACCCCGAGGTCATTTTCTGCAGCCTCTGCAAAGCTATGGAAGCAGGAGACATTGAGTTCTCTTGCAGTCCCGATTGGACGGTACGAGGTCGTCTGTAGTCGTTGATTTGGTCAAGTTTTGACGCCGTAAAGATGCTGGACATGTCTTTAGATAGTGGCGCATGCGTTAGTTGCGGCGGAAGAAGTTTGCTTTAGCGTACAATTATGCCGCTTGGCGACGAAGTCAATCATCCGCGCGGACTTTAATTTGCGCTCGGTGCGTTTTGCGCACGTGTGTGACTGCTGAGGCTTCTGATGTTCCCCTGCTTTTCGCGCGTGCGTCATGCTACGTTTATACTGGCTTCTCGCAGGGTGATGAGCTCAAATTTCTCGGATTGGCAAACTCCATTCGCGAAGAATGCAGATCAATCGACAGGGGCATGATAGGATTGCCTGAACTCAGGTTGGTCTTTCCTTGCTTGCAGAACTTTTATGTTGACGCTGGTGTGTCGCAGCGTTACTGGAACCGATCTGGTCTTCGTCTTACAGCAAGCGAAGGTCGATGCTAACAAGAGTGGACGTGCATTGCTCTATCGCTGACTGCATTTGGATGTTTTGGTCTGGTGGACGCGCGATTGCTTCGTTGCCGCGCAGCTTTGACATTATTGCGGATTGGTCAGCTCCTGAGGAGCTCTTTTTTGAATCTCGTGCAGTAAACACGCACGAGCTTTCGATGCTGCTGTTCGAGATCAACTCGAATTGCCTGCTCTTTACGCGTTACGAGTTGGCCAAGCGGCTGAACGATCTCTGCCAGTACGCTTCCATTCGCCGCGCTCTTGCTGATCTTTTCAAGGAATCGTTCGTCGCAGGTTTGCAGTCAATGCTTCACGATGACAACGAGGATGTCGTACGCTTTGCCATCTGCACTGTCCTCAATTTCGCTACTGACGTCTCGACGATGAACGAGTAGGTGCACAGTCATGATAGGCTGTGGTGCCGCAATGCGTACATTCTGCCATGGGCTCATATCTCTGACTCACATGCTGTTTTCTTTCCTGCGTGTCTTCGTAGCTTGATGCTACTTCGGCTGCCTGAAACGCTCTGTATCATCTTGACGCTATCGCAGAACAAGTCGACGAAAAAGCTTGCCAGTGCTCTCTACGAGATCGTCAGCGTCTGATCGTATTAACAAGAAAGTGCTATCGCAAAGCTGTGATGAGGTAGCTTTTGCTATCAGCTTGTTCGCAAGCTTCAAGGCTCGACAGCTACATTTCAATGCCACAGGATGATGCTCAGAGTAGAGTGAGCGCCGCTTCATTTGTAATTTGCGTTTGTGACTATATCGATGCTGCGCTTTCGTTATCCAGGTTCCCGCAATCAACGACACTTTCGTACATCATTGGGGGAACATTTTGACAAAACCTTTGCCGACGCAGTGCAACACGTCAGGCGCCGTCATAGCGCGTTGGTGCTCACCAAAGGCAATACACGAGCTGCATCATCAACAATCACGACAGCAAAAAGCACCACTCAATCGGGTGCGCGCGAGCAACACATGACAACATGACGAACCTGGCCCGTGTCACGAGAGAGCCTCCATAGACCGCAAGCAGCAGTGGATTGCCTCCGAAATCGGCTCTGGAACGCAGTCGCAAGCAACAGTGCATCAGATGCGCAAACGTCGTAGAGAACACAATGATACAATGTGAGGCGACAAAGCGACGTACAGCTTGGCGTGCTTCACCCAGGCCGCAAATGTCGCAATGGATCCAGCGAGTATCTACACAATAAGTAGCACATGAAGATCAGCGACCAAAGACGCCTTAAGATCGTCACAAATGAATCCGTTCGTACATCTCCTTGGCCACCACACCGACGCGGGCATCCGCACTCCTTGTTTTCCACCGCTATCAGCCAGTCCACAATGTATGAGATGGCGAGACCAAAGCATGTCTGTATACACAAAGTGAACGTCCGTACTGATCGTTCCATCTGAGATAACATCCACGCTTCCTTTCCGAATGACCACCGGGTACCCCAAGCTGAAACAGAAGACATTCAGCAATCACATCACTACACACAAGCGAACGCGGCTCCGTCCTGCAGATACTCACACTTCACTGAGTCGAGCTGGCGGGATTGTCGCAGCCTTAGCGACATCCACGTCCGTCACGAGTCGAGTCGTTGCGCACAAACGCGCATACTCCATCTACGACGCATCGCCAGTTTCACCATTACATAGATTACATACACCGCTCAGATTTTTCACAGCACTTACTGCGTTCGGTGTGAGGATCGCTTTCGTGTAGCCCTTCACTGTATCTGGTCTTAGACTAACTAAGTAGAGAGCGTCGCCGTCTAGAATCAGTGGCAAATCGGCGTCTCTGGCCTGTCCAATAACTTGTCGAACAATTTCTTGCACACTAGCGTCTCGTCCAAGTCCGGGTCCGATCACCAAGACGTCAAGTCGCGGCAGCACCTGTGCAATCTTCTCCACTGCTTCAGATAGAATGCCAAAGCGCTTCGGCTTCTCAACGCCAGCCAACGAAGCTTCCGACCGCAGCAGCGGATGCACGATAAGCTCTGGACTGTAGCATTTGATCGGGACTGCGGCCTCCTCGACGCAAAAGATATGGCACAGATCTGCGCCTGTCTTGAGACTCGAAGTGCCGGCGTAGAACGGAGCGCCGGTGTATTCAAACGAGCCGCCGATCACGCCCACACGACCTGGACAGCTGGCAGCATCAGTACAGCATAAACGACGAGCAGCTGATCCGCACGTCAGTATCGCACCTTGCTCGCCTTTGTGCCAATGTCCGGCGTGCTGCGGGACCAAGCGGTGCACTAGAGATCGCAGCATTGACATGTCGATTGAAGATAGAAAAAAGTTGCCCACTTCTCGACATGGATACCTTGCGTCACGAAATGGACGCTTACTTCACAAAATGGACATGTCACGCATGATCTTGACGTCTCTTTTCACGAAAGTGACATGTCACGAATGACTTTGACGTCTCTTTTTACGAAAGTGACATGTTACGAATGACTTTGACGTCTCTTTTTACAAGAGTGACAGTTTGTGACATTTCGTAAAGTGAGGTATTCTGTCATCTGATAAGATCCAGCTAGCAATCGACGCGACGAAGAAACCGGTTTCGTATAAGACCCGTATTATCACGTCAGCTTTTCCGGCGGTCCGACGTGAGACGCAATCAGCCAATGGCGTTCGACGACCAACACTCTCGTACTTCAACCGACGCATTCGTCGGCACTTTCGAATCGGCGCGACAGACGACAGACCGACTGTTTGGCCTTTTGTGACGATGGTACTGACCCCAGCTCTGCTCAAGAGCTCGACGCGGCTCGGCGGGCTGCGGCTCGCGACGGCGCGCTCCACGCTGCCGGCCGCGAAGGCGCTGCACCAGACGCAGACCCGTCCGTTCGTGGCCAAGCAGCTGTACAAAGTGGCCAAGCGCGTGATGCCGCGCATGTCGGACACGGAGAAGGCGGCGCTTGAGAGCGGCACGGTGGGCTTTGACCGCGACATCTTTTCGGGCTCGCCGTCGCTTGCTACGCTGGACAAGTACTCGGCCGAGCTGACTGCAGAGGAGCAGGCGTTTATGGACACGGAAGTGCAGCAGCTGTGCGAGATGATTGACGACTACGACGTGACGCGCCAGCAGGACATGCCGCTGAAAGTGTGGCAGTTTATCAAGGAGAAGGGCTTCCTGGGCATGATTATTCCCAAGGAGTATGGCGGCAAGCAGTTTAGCGCGCACGGCCACTCGGTCGTGATCACCAAGCTTGCCACCCGCAGCGCGACTGCTGCCGTCACTGTGTGCGTGCCCAACTCTTTGGGTCCTGCCGAGCTGCTGCTTCGCTATGGAACAGACGAGCAGAAGGACTATTTTCTGCCTGGATTAGCCAGCGGTGAACACTTGCCGTGCTTTGGCCTGACGGGACCGTCGTCGGGATCCGATGCCGCTAACATGCGCGACACGGGCACTGTGTGCGAGCAAGATGGTGTCTTGGGCATTCGTGCGACATTTAGTAAGCGCTACATTACTCTTGCCCCTGTGGCGACATGTGTCGGTCTGGCGGTGGATGTGAAGGACCCTCAGGGACTACTGAAGGGCACGGGATACCCGGGCATTACCGTGGCGCTTCTCGAGCGCAATCACTCTGGTCTCCAGATGGGCAAACGTCACGACACCATTTCGATCCCGTTCATGAATGGGCCCGTGACTGGTGAGGATGTGTTTATCCCGATGTCAAAGGTGATTGGCGGACAAACGCGTGTAGGCTATGGATGGAACATGCTTATGGATTGCCTTGCTGAAGGCCGTTCGATCAGTCTACCCGCGTCGGCAGTTGCTGGAGCCAAATTGTCGGTCAACGCAGTTGGCGCCTACGCACGGATCCGCAAGCAGTTCAAGGTACCGATTGCCAGTCTGGAAGGCATTCAGGAACAACTTGCTACCATGGGCAGCAACGCTTTCATCATGACAAGTGGCCAGCACATGGTGAATGCGATGATCAATCAGCATGAACAGCCTGCCGTCATCAGTGGCGTATGCAAGCAACAGATTACAGACCGTGGTCGTGATACGGTCATTCGTGCAATGGACGTTCTAGGCGGCGCTGGTATCTGTAAGGGTCCGAACAACTTTCTCGCAAACATTTACACTTCGCTGCCTGTGGTGATCACGGTCGAGGGCGCGAACATTCTGACGCGTTCACTGATCATCTTCGGCCAAGGTCTGACGCGAGCTCATCCTCATCTGTACGATCTTATCAAGACTATCCAGCACGGCGATGATTTGGCAGGGTTCAAGAAGGAGCTGGTGAAGCTGGTACAGCACGGAGTGACGAACTCGGCTGGCTCGTTGAAAACGGCCGTCACACGTTCGCGCTTCAAGAGACCGGGTCATTTGCTCGCACACTACGAATCTCAGATGGACAAGCTGGCAAAGAACTTTGCTACGTGCGCGGACTTGTCGTTGGTACTTGGCGGTAAGCTGAAGTTTACCGAAATGATTTCTGGTCGCTTTGCGGATGTGTTTTCGAGTCTATACCTGGGATACTCGACGATGTGGTTCTACAAAAACAACCGCGACATCGAGGGCATCGACGTGATCTTTGACTACGCTATGACCCAGCTGTGCTACGAAGCGCAGCAGGGCATCGTCGGAATAAGTAAGAACTTCCCTGTTCCAGGCATCGGCCCGATCATGCGCAGACTTTCGTTCCCGTTTGGTTTGCCATACGACTCCCCGAGCGACAAACAGATGCGCCAGGTCTCCGAGCTGATCTCGACTGACTCAGCTGTGCGTAGTCTGTTGAGTGACAACGTGTTTGTGTCGAAGGACCCTGCGGACCGCGTGGCGCTTTTGAACGCGACGCTACCGAAGGCTGTGAAAGCAGACCGTACGCTCACTGCGTTGCGCAAACAGAAGCGCAATGCGACGATTGATGAGCAAAAGTCCATCGACGAAGTCGAGGCCGCGCGTGAGATCATCATTCAGGTGGACGACTTTGATCGTCTTGGTGCGGAGGTTGGCAAGCCGAAAGACTACATTCGCCCGGGCATGGTCGGCAATGTCTTCGACAAGAAGAAGAACTGAACGAAGCAGACTGAATAGATCACATCCCGTTGTCACGATTGGACTCTGCGTGCAGTGGGAAGCGAAGAGGAGGTAAACGAGAAGAGCGCAGATCATTGAGTGAGGCACTGGTCAGGGCAACTAGCACACGAGTAAGTCGTTGTCAAAGTGTGTATCCCCCTGACAACGCAAAGCTGTATTCCCTTTTCAACAAGCTTTGGTTGCATCGCTGTCGCTTTTCTTTGAGTTCGCTGGTTGCTCTAGGAATATAGGGGGAAGCCATCGAGCCGTTCACCAAAACACATCGGCACTCGCGTTTGTTGTTCCTTCTGAGGTAACAAGACATCTCAGTTCTCGCCCACAAAGGTCTGCCATCCACGAAAACGATTTGCTCAGAACACCGTCGACACCTCACACATACCACCAGCACAGCTTGCAAATGCATGAGCATGCGCACCTCAGTGTGTTGCCGAGCGCAGTGCACAAAAGCGTCGGCCACTTCCTTGCAGTTCAAGACATTGCTCTTCTCGTCTCGGTAGCACTCCAAGCACGCGTCGCGCTCAGACGAACACTGCACGTCTCGCAATGGTGCGCGGTACTTTTTCTTGCGAATCGCCACCACGAGCTGCTCCACGCGTTGGTGCTCGCGCTCTTCCTGCTCTTTCGCAAGCTGGGCCTGCTTCGCGGGACTCAGCGCAGTCGCAGCCTTCTGCTGCTTCTCGGGATCGGCCGCCATCTTCTTGCGGTAGTCCTCAGCGCCCTGTGGATATATATCTCATGAGTACGTCACTCTGTGCATACACACAGCCCCATTGGCTTCTCAACGACAGACAGGGCGGACACGTTTGCCGCACCTTGGCGTAGGCCGACTGCAGCTGGTTCTTCACAAACTCCTGCTGTCTATCATACAATCGTAGCGTGAAAAATCAGTACTGCAGATATACAGCATAGGACAGGGCGTGCAAAGTCGCATGCGGTCCCGTACTGCGGAGTGAGCCCGCTGACTGCCTGCTTGGCCTTGTTTGCCGCCCCGTGGGTGCCATTGATCTGGTCAATGAGCGCCGGCGTAAGACGAATAGAGGTCCGCGTCTCCGCTTCGTAGTCGTCCTCAGGGCGCAGCTCTGCTGCCGTCTCTGGCGTCACCACGCGCGACTGCTTGGCGCCCATGTTGCTCGTGTGCGTATCCTGTATTTTGCGAGGTAAGGTCAACGCGTTTGACGCAGGAGCCGAGTACCGGTCGCGACTCGGTAGGCGTGCGATAGAACCGGTATGAAAAAGGACAGGTTTCAGACACGACAGGCAGTTTGTCCAACTTGACGTGACCTCGTCGTTGTCAATGGAGCAGAACGAGGCCCGTGAGCTTCGCATTAAATGTCACTTCACGTTGAAATATCTCAGCGCTCTGTAGCTCTCGACGAATTGACTTAGCAGCACAAGACGTTCGATGTCATGGTCAATTTCAACTGCAGTCAACCTCCTTCCAGCACTGGCTGAACGATTGGGACACCACGCTCGAGGTCGCTCGAACGAACCGATACCGTGTGCGTATCTCTTTAGCTGCACTGTGCAGCAATCGCACGTCGCTTCGCGACAAAGTCGGGGCGTGCGCGTGCACATAAAACTCAGAAACAAAAGGCGTCACGTCATCCAGCGCGACGTGTAATGCGGTGCTCGGCAGCAACATCGATACATGCATTCGTGTGGCAGCACTAGTCGTTACGTCAGGTCACTTTCGACGATCTCAGCACAGACACGAGAGAACGCATGCGATGGCAACGAGGACGAAAGCTTGCAGCACTCGTTTCAGCGGGAGCGAGCGAGTGCAAGTGGGACACGAGTGAGCGTGTCGCTGCTCGTCGCTGCACCGTATCCATTCGTTTGACCTCGACGACCAGTCCGGCGTAGCGGATGCAAAACTTGATGGCGCCAAGTCTTTCGTAACTGCCACTTGTAGGTCAAAAGCATACAAACCGATCCCTCCAATACTTAATCGCTGCCACTCGTCTCGTTCGTAGCCCTTCGATTGCGTCAGTATCAGGTGAGCAGGTCCACGACCCTCTGTACCTCCTCCCTCGGTCACCTCTTTCGAGGCCAAAGAGGTCACTTACTCGCTCGCTCGCTCCCTCCAGTCAGTCAGTCAGTCACTCTGTCAGTCAGCCCATCAACGCCGCCACCTGCTCCACACTCGCTGCCATGTCGGACAAGCAAAAGACAGCGCTCGTCGCGGCCTCCGCGGCCGTCGTCGGCGTGACGGCCAGTTCGTACCTCCTGCGTCGGGTCATGCGCCCCGTGCTCCACGCCCGTGCCGCCGCGTTCTTCACGCAGATGCTGGCCGACGCCGACATCCTCATCGACCGCGACATTCGCATCTACGACGAGGACATTTTCCTCGACTGGATGCACCGCGGCATGCTCGCGATCGGCGAGTCGTACATGGCCAAGAAGTGGGACGCCATCATCCCGCTCGACCTTCTCCTCGCGCGGCTGCTCATGCTGCCAGCCGACAAGCGCCGCAAGATGTTCACGGCCTGGAACGCCAAGTTCATCGCACTGGGCGGCAAGATCTTCAACTACCAGTCGCCCTCGCGCGCGTGGATCGTCGGCGCGGTCCATTACGACCTGGGCAACGACTTTTTCAAGCTCTGGCTCGACCCGTACATGCAGTACTCGTGCGCGTACTGGAAGGGCATTGACAATGAGCACGACCTCGATGCCGCGCAGCGCAACAAGTTGCACCTGATTGCCAGGAAGCTCAAGCTCGAGCCAGGCATGCGCGTGCTCGAGATCGGGTGCGGCTGGGGCGGCCTTGCTTGCTTCCTTGCAAAAGAGTACGGCGTCCACGTGACGGGCATCACGATCTCGAACGAGCAGCTCAAGGGCGCGCGCGAGTGGGCCAAGCGCGAGGGCGTGACGGACCGCACGAGCTTTGAGTACTGCGACTACCGTGACATGCACGGCCAGTTCAACCGCGTCGTGTCGGTGGCGATGATGGAAGCAGTGGGCTACAAGAACTTGGACGCGTACTTCCGTGTCATCCAGCGCTGTCTCATGGACGACGGACTTGCGCTTGTGCACGGCTGTGCCGCCAATCGCTCCATCGACGTTCCGATCCAGCTCTGGATCCTCAAGTACATCTTCCCCAACGGCTTCCTGCCGTCTTTTGCGCAGCTGCTGCTGTTTGCCGAGCGCAAGCTCATTGTCGAAGACGTCCAGAACCTCGGACCAGACTACGTCAAGACGCTCGGGTGCTGGCAGGAGCGCTACCAGAAGCACCTCGATGAGGGCAACATTGACCGCCCCGAGGTGTTTTGCCGCATGTGGAGCTTTTACCTGCAGTACTGCCTTGCCGGCTTTCGTGCGCGAACGGTTCAGCTCGCGCAGATTGTCTATTCCAAGAACCGCTATACCCGCTACGATGCCGAGCGATAGATGGCGGACGTTGGATTGCGGAAGGCAAACACGCGCACGCTGTCGTGGTCGCTAGAAGTGACAGGGGTAGAGGAGAGTGGCAGACGGGTTCTTGCGCTTGTGCATCGGTCCCAAGGTGGACTCAACGGGTGGTTGACTGACTCTGTCTGTAGCTAGCAACCTCGAAATATGAGCTAAGCAGAAATGGGGTCAAAGATGAACGAACGACTGGCGATGAAAACAAGTGAGGCGAAGTGTGTGTTGTCGTTACTGTCGTGGGACCAAAGTGTTCTGATCGTTTCGCACTGTTCGTTCCAACGTGCATTCCGTCCTACACAAGCCGCCAGTGCTTAATCCGTGTCTCATCCTCATGCTGGACCAACGTCTGTGAGAACGGTCGACAATATCCATCAAACGCCATCGTATGGAAACTGAGGGTAGGCACGTGTCTCGCTCAGGGTGCCAGAAGGCGTCACGCGCTACAAAAAGGTCAAGCTAGGACAGCCAAAGCTTGATCAGCCACTGCAAAGCAACGCTCCATCATGAGCAACTCGATTCGTTCACACGGTACTTACTCGCCCTCTTCCTCTATTTGCGTCTACCATTCCGGTCGACCACCGCGCAGTTGCTGCCGGCGTTCCTGTTCGAGAGCATCGCGAAGGACGACCTTGCCAACCACGTAGACGCCAGTCGCCACCATACCGTAGATCGCGAATAAATACGAGGCCACGACGCTCGCCGCCCCGATAAAGCCAAGCACGACAAATGTCGCCGCACTGAGTGGATCAGGCTGGTACGAAAACACCATGTTCACGAGCGAGAAGAAGAAGTAAAAGAGCGCACCCAGCAGTCCCGTCGTGAAATTCATCACGGCCACAAAGACCCAATTGAGCACCATGCTCAGCACGTCTTCATCTCGAGCCGACAAGACCCGCATGATCATGTGGTAAAAAGTCTGCTGCTGAGCAAAGAGCTTGCCCTTTTCAAACGCACTCCAGAACCGCGCCCGGACGTCAGCTAGACCAAAGTCGGACCAGAGACCGACATACGATCGAGCCTTCTTCATCTTGTCTTCCTGTTCCTGTTCCCTCCTCGAGAGCTCAGCTGCCCACTTGTCGGCCTCGGACTGGCGCTGATGCACCAGCGTCTTGTACGGCTCGCGGAACCGCCAGAACCAGACTTTGGCTTCGTCTGCATGGGCTTGAGCTCCAGTGTACTTGGCATGAGCTTCGTGGTACTCGGGCATATTGGCCGCCTCAACAACCATTCCTTCATACGTCGCCTTCATCTCCGGTGTAACAGTCCGTAGTCCCGGAGCCAATAGCATAAAGAAGAGCCCGACCGCCCAGAGCACGAACCCGAGACGAACTTTGGGCGACTTGAGAGCTCGACCGGCGACTGATTTGACGAGCGCAACGCCGATATCTGTCTCTGTATCGCCGTAACGCGTTTGCTGCACAGCCTCAGACGCTGCAAATGGCATACAAAGGAGCGACGAGTTAACGTATCGAGCGATGGACAACGAGATAGAACGGAAAAAAAGGACAGCGTGGAGACAAGACGCTGACACAGCATATCAATGGAAGAGGAGGGACGACGTACCGTCGAAACGCGCGCTGCTGTGGTGGTCAGGTCGACGCCGCATTCTTCTCCACGGGTTTGTCGATGTGCGTTACAATGGACTGCGCTAAATGTGGTTTAAGCTGTTCAAATTCTAGAAGCTGTGGGGTTTGGAGCGTTGAGGGGCTGGACTTTGATGGATTTGAAAAAGGTGGGTGACCTGATATTAGGGACGTCAGTTGCGCTCTATTTGACATGCGACGCTACTTCTTCAGAGTTCATGGCAGTTACATTGTCGCACCTGCACAAGCTGAACGATTACAAAAGAGGCCGATGCAACGAGTGGAATTGCTGTAACCACAGACATCCTTCGAAATAATATGACAGGGTCCGCGTACGCTGCAGAGATAAATGGACACGACGGTGACACCAAATTAACAGATGATACTGTCATTGCCATGGCGACGCTAGAGGTCGATCTGTGTTTTTTTCATCCTCCCTAACTTTCTAACGTCTGCATATATTGCTTGACAAACTTCATTTGACGGACCTCTCTACGTGCATTGGACACGCCTCTGCTAACAAATGATCGCAGTTCGCACGATCAGAACTTCAAGCAAATAATACAAAATTTAGGAACTAATCCTTGGTCCCCCATTAATAAGCTCAAAATCAACGAGTAATTTTTACACTACCCCACATGTCTTCCATCTGCGCTGCAACTATACCAGGCCAAGTTATAGATGGCACACGTCCAGTCCGTGTGTCGCCGTGTGCTGATCCCACATGTCTTCCGCCTCTCCGCGTACCACCAATCAAGTTATCAGAATAACAGCCAATCAGGCGAGGTCGGACCTTACCCTGTAACAACAGGTCTTGCAGTTGACCGTCCAACCCCCAAGCACCTGTGAGAAGTGACATATTCTAACAATGCCATTATATGAAAGACAAAATAACGGCATCACACCACTCGGGACAACCAGAGAATAGAAGAAAAATAGACAACCTCAGCGCCTATTTATACATTATTTGAGTTCTATCGATTACTGCTCTAGTGTGACGGGGTAGCCCGTTACATGAAATCGCCGTTGTGCGAAATGGTAATTAAGAATATTAAGTTGGGCATTCTTTTAACAATGTCAATAGTTATAGTGATATTGTTGAGATGACTTAAAAGTCTACTCATTGGTTGATATTGTGTTTACATCAACCCACCGATCGCTGCTAGACGCGCGCAATGGGTGGTGAGTAGACATGCATTTAGTTATATTAATATGCTTAAGTCGGGTCAATAAGAGAAACGAGAGATATAGGACCTTAATTATATTAAATAAAAAGTTTTACTTTTTATACAACTAGATTCTTGCCTTAGTTGTTTACCCTTCCTCTGTATTTTGTCTATACCTACAGGCAAGGCACATACCTTCACTGTTGTCAGTGAAAGTTACCTCCGCATTGGTGTTCCAGTACGAAGTGACCAGTGCCCCGTTACATCTAGGATTTATGCGCCTACAACTTATACGCGCTAGACAATGACAAACACAAACGAGATGAAATGAGATTAGTAGTGAGTACGTGTGCAGCAGTAGACGTCATGAACACGCGTGAAGACCTGCTTATTTATTTGTAATCGAAATGCTAGATCGTGCGAGCGAAATTTGGTAGAAGCATCATTTGGTAAAGCATTCATTGTCGCACTTCTTTTTTTGTAATTATCCTAACATAATGTAGAAAGTAGGATGAACACGAGCTCAGCATTGGTGTTAATGTGAGATAGAGTGATAATTTCTATGCTATGGTCGCAAGCAGCAGCGAAAGTATCGCCGACGTGTAATCCCGCCATCAGCAAAAGCACAACATGTATCAAAAAGTTTGCGTCACGGGAACATGCCTAACTCATTAAGACCTGATTAACGTTTTACCGAGCTCATGACAGTCGCATTGCGTAGCAAGTCTTTTGCCAGCGTTCGCCGCTACTGATGTATGAAAACGCAGATATTATTGATTAAATTTGTAAATGCAGTGTGGTATTCTCCGTGGTTCATGATGATGTAACTAGCGCACGTGACCTCATTCGCCAGTAGTCATATGTTCTTCAGTCAAATTTTGAAACATAACCTATCATTTGAGGTGGTGCAATAGCATTTCTGAAGCTTTTGCCATGTCGTAAGTGATCACGATCAATATTGGATCCACTACACACTCCCTGCACCTGTTTACATAACGATAAAACAGGTATATCATGGTGTAGTTCAAGATTTATGATGTAAACATCTGCCACGAAGCGGGCGTGTCGAAGTTGCCGCCGTTTTGCCTGTAATAGGGCACGATTCTTACCCGATAACATTGAGCCCGAGCACTGTTGAAGATGCAAGAGTCTGTACGCTCCCAAATCCCACGTACTCTTAAGGCGAGCAGAGCAAGTAAATAACCTAATCAATAGTTGCTTGATCAGGGAAGGGAGGTAAACTGTATATCGAATATGATTAATTTCCCCGAATTCGTCTTCTTTATCGTATAAACAATAAATCAAGCTTCCGAATAAGAATTTTACTCGCTACCCCGTGCGCACGTCTAACTTTACTTTCTACGTCGCTTGAGCCAATTCGCAGATCGTCAAAATATATACAGAGCAGGTACTAGCTTGAGGCAGATACCGCGCACGACGGATATTCACCTCCAGTATATTTGCTCCCGATAGGGAGGGATTGGGACAACCCCCTCCTCTCGAAGATCTTCCAGGTAAACGCTACGCCCCCGACTGTCTCTTTGGTGCCGGCATACACGTGGGCGGCCATAGTCGTGCTCCGTACACTCATCCCCACGAATCTAAGCCTCAGGACTGACATGAGCTAATGATAAAGCTTGAAGTAATATGCATTTTCCTGTTGGCTTGTATATGTTTTGTTTTACAATTGATAGCTAATGGAACGGTCTTCCCAGACGCGACTCCCAGATTCTAGCCAAGATGAAAGGTGACACTTTCCGCGCGAGTAAAGGAGGTACAAAGCAAGATAACAAACATCAATCTCACTTCTCATTTTTTTACCAAATTAATAAGCGGTTCGTCTATCAGCTTAGGGTCGTACCCATCAAAACCCGTCTGCATGCCAAAGGTTGTCAAGACTCTCTGAGAGCTCACCTGAGCCGATTATTCTCGCAGGACAGGAGCGTACCAGTAGCCCGAGTGTCCGGTCTCAAATAGACTGATGCGATTACGTAAGTCGAATTTTGTTGGAAGCTGAAGGACGTACGACGAAAGGAGCCGACAACAGTGGTATAAGCTAAGACGTGCGCTGTCAAGTGAAGTGCATGGATGGTATGTAATTTGAAGAGTAAAGCCAGGCATCAACTGGGTCATCATGTATATTGGCACCAGCAGGACATCGATGCAGAGCAGCAAGAGTCTGTAGCTTGTGTTTCTAGCTTTACTAATTATCAATCATTTTTAAATTACCTCATATAAAGCACCGTGACTATCTTAGACAATTTAGTTGCTAATAGAGTTGGTGGTCTTCTCGCCGTCGCTTTCTCCTCAGGATCTCTATGTTACTCTACAAGCAGGCATAAATGCGTAACACGGGTACGGTCAAGTGAAGTATGGCGAGCTACAATTGAAAATTAGATTTACCCGAGTACGTTCGCCTTCCAGTGCGCGCTAACCTGCTACTGGTGGACAAGAAAACTTTCCCTACCCATCGAGGACAAGAAGTGGGATGGTTTCTTGATCTCCTTAAACAGATATTTGTCACCCACCCGGTGATCGCTACTACACTGGTCACAGGCCGTGAGAACGATTTGAAAGGAAATGGGTTGTCGCCATGTGGAATTCAAAAGAGATCATTCGCAAGCTTGCCAACGGACATAAATAGGCTACGGTTCTCGCTCCCAACCAGTGGGCGCATGTAACGGGGCAGCCCGTTACATGAAATTGTCACTTTAAGGAAAGTGACAATAAAGAATATAAAGATGGATATTCTTTAAAACAATATCACCAAAGTGGTGATATTAAAGGGTCGACCAAAGGGTCTGTTCATTGGTTGATATCGTGATGATATCAACCCACCAATCGCCGCAAGACGCGCGCAATGAGTGGTGACGAGACGTCACCATACATGCAGTTATATTAGTATAATTGAATTAAGTCAAACGAAGAGACAGTAGTTTAAAGACTTAATTTATTAATATAACAGTTCTACTTTTACCCTACCTACGCTTCCTCGCTTGCCACGTGTACGTCTGTCGGGGCACTCAAAACCCTTGCGTTAAGTTACGCAAGGGTGTGCCCCGTTACACCTGGTAGCACTTTGTAGTCCTTCCAAGGACCACATCATCCAACATGAACATGTTGGATGAAGAAGACACCTTTCACGCCACGCGTGAAGGGTTTACCCATTTGAGTGACATCGAATGGGGTGCGGTAGAACGAATGAGTTCTACCGTAGGCGAACTCGTCGTCAGCACCATGTTGGAGTCTCTAGACAGAGACCAACAACATGCCGCTATCGCCAAGTTCATTCAGAATGAACTTGCTCTCGAGAGGGAGAAAGTAGCCTTGCTTCACCAGCAAGGCTCTCAACAGGCCGAGCAGTTGAGAGAACTCGGTGCTCAACAGACGGAGCTGTTGAGACAGCAGCAATTCCATGCTGCTGTGGGCGGGACGGCGCATGCGCGTCGTCCCGAAGTCATGAAAGTCGACATCTCCAAGTACAGTGGAGTCCCGGAGGACTCCCTGTTACTATGGTTTGTCGAACTCGACAGAGCCCTAAGGGCTCGTCGCGTCGAAGATGAGCAAATGAAACTCACATTTGCTCAGACCCACTTGGCAGGGCGTGCCAAAACTTGGTCCCTGGGACTCGAGAGTAGCGACCCAAATGTGTTTAGGTCGCTAGATGACTTCAAGTCCCGGCTCAGACAAACGTTTGAGCCGCCACGTGCTGAGTTCAGGGCTCGCTCAGAGCTCCTGAAACTCAAGCAGGGTAAGCGTGATGTGCACGCTTACGCACAACATATACGACTCCTTGCGAGTAGTATAACTGCCAACCCAGTACATGAACACACGTTGATTACGGTGTTCATGCAAGG